TTTACTTGGCATGGGGATTGTTATTATTGTTTTTTGACACTTGCGGTGATTTTACATAGTTTTGGCTAGACTGGGATTTATCTCGATGGCCGGCGCTATCCAGAACCGAAGTTAAATTAATAACATAATTAATAACGAAAAAAACTATATTCATAAATCAGATACTCAAAATTCTATCTGTCATGTAATAATAATTTGATTCATCGTATCGTTCTTTATTCGTCTACACAATCAATCTTCGAGTTGTGTTGCCATTGGCGGCTTGATTGTTTGCTGGCATATCTTGTATTATATCTGTGAACATTGCTGGCATATTCAAACAATGTGATTAAATATGTTTGGTAAAGCCCCACAATGTCATATATGCGTAAATTGAAAAATATGCAGGCGATATATATTGTCAACATTTAAGATATTTAGAATATATCTTTTGCATAGGAATAAGCAAAGAAAATCAATCTGATAACATGATTTTGTTTGAATTTTTTTAAGATGCGTTTTATAAGTGCTACCCCATGCTATTATTGCGTATGAGAGGTAGGGATAAATCAAATTGTAGTATAACTGCCTTAGCTGTTTTAAGGATAGGTAGTGCCTTAGTTTGGAAATTATACCAGTGTTACGAGATAACCTAGAGCGCTATATGACATTTCCAATTCAGGGCATCATCTATCATAACACCTAAGTGTTTAATTTGACTTTTCCTTTCCAATGGGTGTGAAGAGTTGCCGTTTTTGATTTTAATATTGATAACAGCATCCCTTTTTTGCGGAGGTTTGACTATCATGAAATTAGTTTTAGTCATATTTATGGATGTTTTATTTGAGTCACACCAGTCCTTAACCTTTACTAGCTCAGTGTTCATGATATTTTCTAGAGTTTTAAGATTTTTCTCAGAAGCAAAAACATTTGTATCGTCCGCAAATATTTTGAAATTCAACTTTTTAGAACAGTTTGGTAGGTCATTGATATAGATGAGAAATAACAGGGGTCCTAAAGTACTTCCCTAGGGAATACCGCAGGTAATTGTTTCTTTGTCCGATTCGATACCGTCTATTTTTACGTATTGTTTTCTGTTTGAGAGATAGCTATGGAACCAAGTCAGGGGTAAGCCTCGAATTCCGTACGCCTGCAGTTTGTCAATAAGAATTTGATGATTTACGGTTTCAAAAGCTTTCGAAAAGTCTAGAAATACGCCACAAGTACATATATAAACTGTTATCAATTGCTTTGCGAAAATTTTCAGTGATTTCAGCAATAGCTTGAGCAGTAGAGTGCCCTTTRAATTATAAAACTAGATTTCTCTTGTAATGGACAATTGTAAGGAGMATATTGAAATGGAGAGAAATGTGTTCCTATGTAAACGAGAGGACTCGGCTCAGTATGCTAATGAGTTGTACATAAYTTAAGTGCCAAAGAAGTGTCAAGCGATTGKGTAATCAGTGTGGTCCAAGCTCCAATAGTTTGAGTAGTGAACTTTATAACTTTTTATGGATTTAATGCAGATGTACTTGTATATGTACTATTATTCAGGTCTAGCCTGTCTACCACGATTGTAGATAGTTCTGCTTAATGTGATTAAAGTGGAGCTTTTGAGCCTGGACCCGTCTAGATATATTTTTTTTTTATGGACTCGAGGGAACAGAAGGAACAAAATGTTAAATTTAACATTCTCAAGATGTGAAATTTCCTGGGCCCTGCATTTTGTACACATCAAGGTATCCTTTATCTAAAAACCACTGAGCTACTTGCACAAACCTGCATACATGTGTTGTCAACAATCATTCCTTCAAACTTGATTTTGGGGTAAAGTTTGGAAACTTCAGCACATGTGTTCAGGAATAAACCATCTCCTTTTTTCCTTACAAAATAGCAAACAAAGATAGTGCAATACATAAATATCAAAATACCATTTTGTTTTGATGCTCTTATAGGAAGTTACACAATTAATCATACACAATCATGCCAGTCACCTAAAGGGGAACTTAGGCACTCTGAAATATGAGTCATACAATATGTATTTGCTATAAACGTGTACATTATCAACAGTTCTCACAGGCAAGGGCATTTTAAGGGGCCTGCTATATGGTTTTAAAGGGACACTGTCAATGGCACGCATGCGCGAGTAAACTTGAAAACACTATAGGCTAGT